CATTTGTGTTTGTGGTTACACTGTAATTGTTTATTACCTTTTACCACGCACTGCCTCGAATTTGTTCCTTTTGAAAAGAACCTTGAAGTTTGCCCCATTTATTGTGTATTTCTGCAGGGTGCCATTATTGTCAGGTGATTAATAGCCTCCTGGGTTTCCAAGTATCGAAACTGCATATAGAATTAGTCTATAATTGGCTAAATGGCTCACAACTTTTACAGTTTACAAGACTAAATTGGATATTGGCCGCAAAAGCGATTCAGTTTAGAGCCACGTCAATCTGCAATTACAATTTGCATGGCTAATGATTGCATTTCAAATGGTTTCAAATTAGAACTTCTCAAGGTAAAAGGTTCACTAAATCCATAATTAATAATCCACGAGTCATAGTGGTCATAAAGATTTAAGACTTATCAAAAATCTAGTACAAAAACACAGTTTTGTGGGTGAAAAATTATATTTTTCAACCATACGTTTAGGGGGGGATTGTATTTCATGGTTACTTTCATAGGTTTCTAAACAAATTCAAAATTTTGAGTGCATGTCGGCGGCGCAGCAGTCGTGGGATGAGGATGCTGGGACTGGCTAAGCGGGCAAATCAACTGGAGTTCCACTGGAGTTCCACTGGACTCATCGCTTGCTAATTGTGTTAATGTTAATTGTGGAAACTGAAACGGAACTGCTTGCACTCTTCGATCGCTGGGCCGCGGCAACAACAGCCATTCATTGGATTGGAGGATGGAGGGTGGTGGAGCGGAGCGGAGCGCGGGTGTACGAACGAAGGCGTCTCCCAGGCGGCTGCTAAGGATCGCAATCCCGCTTAGCTGCAGCAACTGGCCGGTGTGGGGTCCAGTCCCGATCGCTTGGTGATGCTCAGCCGGGTGAACTCCTCGGCGGTGGTTGGGTGAATGCCCACCGTGTTCATCAGCGTGTTGACGGTCAGGCCGGACTTCAGTGCGGCAGCGAAGCCCTGGATCACCTCACCGGCCACTGGTCCCAGATAGTGCAGTCCGTAGACCCGCTGGTCGCCATGGCGCTCGGCCACCGCCTTCAAGTAGCAATAGCGCACGCTCTTCTGTGGGATGAAGAACTCCGTGGGCTTGTAGTAGCCGTGGAAGACCTCCACCTCGTCCTCGCCGTACTGCTTCACGGCCTCCTCCTCGCTGAGGCCCACGCAGGCGTACTCCAGGGGCGTAAAGACGGTGGTGGCCACATCGCTGTAGTCCATGCGCTGGGTGGCTCCGCCGTAGAGGCGACGGGCCAGCAGACGACCGGCTAGAATGGCCACGGGCGTCAGCTCTGGTTTGCCGTAGATGATGTCACCGACGGCATAGATGTTCGGCACATTGGTGGCCTCCTGCGAGTCCACTGGAATCTTGTCCTTCTGCACACTGACGCCGGCATTGGACAGGTTGAGGTCCTCCACCAGACCCTTGCGGCCGATGGCCCACAGCACGGTGTCGAAGAGCTCCTCGGCCTCCTCGCCGGTCTCGGTGTTCTTGTACTTGACCAGCAGCTTGCCATCGTCCTGCTTCTCAACGGACAGCGGCACCGATTTGCGCAGGAAGGGTATGCCGCGCTCCTCCATCGAGGAGGCCACCAGCTCGGCCATCTGCTGGTCAAAGCCGCGCAGCACAATCGAACGCACCATCACGGTGGGCTCGTAGCCGAGACCCTTCAGGAATCCGGCGCACTCCAGTCCAATATCTAAATGGGGGGATGAAAGGATAAAAGGTTACAATTAGTTGTCCTCCAACTGGCAAAGTAATGCCACTTACAGCCAGCTCCCACAACCAAGGTCTTGCCGGGCTCGCGGTCCAAACTGAACAGATCATCGCTGGTGATGCCGTGCTCCACGGCTCCGGGAATGTCCGGATAGCGGGGACGGCCGCCCACGGCAATGACAAAGTTCTGGGCGGTGATTGTGCGCTCGCTGCTCTTCAGCTTGGCCAGCATGGTGTGCGCGTCCACAAAGGAGCCCAGTCCGTTGATGTACTCCACTTTCCTGGGGGCGCAAAAGAAAAAAACAAACCATTAATGGGAGCTCTTGAGCGGGGGGGCTATAGCTATAGCCACACTTACTTGTCGCGCAGATCCACACGGGTCACCCAGTTGACGGACTTGATGTGATTCTGGACGGACTGCACCAGCTTGCTCCAGTCCGGCTTGATCTTGTCGTCCACGTTCCAGCCGTAGGCGGCTGCCTCATGGACAGCCTCGCCCAACAGCGAGGCCTGGTGCATCAGCTTCTTGGGGATGCAGCCCACGTTGACGCAGGTGCCGCCAACGCCCCACTTGGTGCCCAGCGTGGGCGTGGGCTTCACAAAGTCCAGGCAGGCGACACGGGCGCCATTGAGCACTGCCTCCTTGGCGCAGGCCAGGCCAGCTGATCCGCCGCCAATCACAACTAGGTCGTAGTCGTAGGTTCCTGCAAAAATATATGGTACAAGGATTTTGGATGAGTAAATCATATTAATATTTAATGCAATCCGCCTTTATTTTTTTGCAAATCTTGAGAAACAATCGCCAAAATGGCTAGTCATAATAACTTGACCTTTTAAGTGACTAATCATCCCTTATCACTCGAAATAAATAGAAATAATGTTGCTATTTTCTTGACGTTCGCCGTATTTAGTATCTAGTTTAGTTTTAAGCTCTGATGACTGATAACTGATAGGTAATGATATCAAAAGGTAATGTTGTTCAACTTGATAAAGTTTGTTGCTCTTTAAGTACTATCTTCCCCAGTTGCTATCCCTTAAGCATAATCCATGCCCCTGCCTTTGGCCAACTCCTCGCGCAGTCGAATGTCCAGATAGGCGGATCGGTAGATGCTCCTCCGGTGGCGCGGTTCACCCTCCACCAGCTGGGAAACGGGCACGAACTCGAACAGATGCATCCAGACCGAAATGGGAACCAAGACTGTTTGGTGTTTGGCCAATCTGCACCTTGCAATCTGAACCTGGGCCTCCTTCGTTCCTTACAGCTTTCAACTTTCAGCTTTCAGCCGCCACACAGGAAGCTCCTTTTGTAGATGCCAGGTGGCGATTGCGATTGCCGATAGCGGTGCCACTGGGTCAGAGAGTTCAAATCAAACTGGAGCAATCATCTGGCGACATGGCCACCGAACACGCCCCGTGCCCCATGCCCCATGCCCCACGCCCCCCCGTCAACCCACGCCAACAAGCCATTGCTTTGACCTGCTGGATTTTTACCATGGTTACGCCCCAAAACTAGTTGGCAACAACACTGCGGCTTATCGGCTAGAACCACGCCCCCCTCCTGCCCCTTAGCCCTCCTCCCACCCAGAAATCGGAGAAATCGGGTAATCGTGCGATATAAACAATTGTCGTCACGCTGCAATTAATTGCGGAATTAAATGACGATGACGGGCGATGATGATGCAAGTGTCGAAGATGTTTGTTTGCCCAGCAGAGATACAGATACAGATAGAGATAGAGATAGAGATAGGTATAGAGATACGGATTCAGATATGGTGAAATCATCATGGGTGCATGGGCACCCAATAAAGCGATTCTCGAACATTCCGCAAAGGGTTGTCCAAAAGCATCTAATGAAACTAACAAATCTATCATACCATACCATATGCATATGATGAGGTATTTTTTTTTTTAAGAAACAAAAGCTCTGACATGATTATGGATTGGCTAATTATTCATACAACAGGGAAACTTGATCTTGCGCTGTTGAAATGTATAGAAATCTATGCCCACCCAATGGATATGTTTATTTGCACATTCATAAATATAAGACTATGGTGGTTAACAAATAAAGCTACTGTTTTTTATAAGGAAATATTGTTCTATTTGAAGAGCTGAAGTGGCGTAGAAAGCATCAAGTTATTTTGAAAAATTATAGTTTAATTAAATATTAAAAATAATTAGTATATGGTTAATCTCTAAATTTTGAAAAGTGACTAATGGGTTTTATGAATTTTTTTATGCAAAGAAAAAAAAAAAACAGGAAATATGAAATATATATGAATCAGAACTTTGTTGACCATTATACTTAGAAGATGCACCCCTTTTAGCGCCCACGACCAGAGCACAAATCATGTACTTAAGCATGATAAGGGCGAGTGCTATGAATGCGACCCCGACTGTAATTCCAGTTGGACTGGGTGCGATGGCGATGGCGATTGACGATGACGTTGCAAATGTGAAGTAAATGCCGGCATTAAACCTTTGCGAATACGTGCGGCTGGCAGAAACCCGATAAGTCAAGGGAGCCAAGTAATAGTTATTGCATAATAATGGCGTCGGGTTAACACAAGAAGCCCACAAAAACAGCAAATCACACCGCACACTTGTGGAAACCCGACGACTATCGACCGCCGCGTTGCCAATCCGGATCGGTGGCAATCGATATCGGCTCACCTGCTTTGGTCCTCATCTTCCGCACCGGTTGTTCGTACATGGCCGCCCGGTCGCAGTGAGGATGCTGGAAGGGGATCGCACCGCCCGCCCCCGCCGTTCCAGCTGATCCCGACGACCCTGAACTTCCAGAACTGTCGCGGGATCCTCGCACTCCCGAACTCATGTTTCGTTGGGTGCTGGAACTACTGGAACAACTACTGAGGCGGCACTTGTTTTGTAGAATGCCAGACGTAAATATCGTTGAGCACTGCCGCACGAACGTAACGGAGAGTCTCGAGTTGCACAAGTTCATCTTGGCGGCTCCCCTTCACTACCTCACTACTCACTACCCCTTTCCAACAATTGGAAATTGGCTGGAAAAAACTTTCGCGAAAGGGCACAAAAAAAAAGACGGAGGAACACAACACAAACACGTCGCTGGTCTTTGCGGGAATGCTGCGAATGCGGTGGGCAGGCAGACGCGCCGATAAACGGCTACGTAACATAAGCAGAGAGAAAAGATAGCGGCGCAGATGCGAAGGCAGGGCTAAAGAGAAATGGCAAAGGAGTCGGAATGGGAATTGTAAAATGCCAATTGGGAAGGCCATAGTTGTTCCGCACAGAGTCCAATTAGAATTTTCGAAACGTTTCTAATTGAACGCACGTTTGGCAATGCGCAGTATCGATAACTAACGGATGGTTGGCAACACTGCCAGACAGCCGGCCGTCAAATTATTTCTACGCCTGATTCGTTTCTACTTCTACGCTTGTGTTACGGCAATAAATTCGGTTGATAAGCACGGAGAGATCTGGTGAAATCCACAAACGGAACAGTCCAATACCGCCCTTTATTGCACCCTTTTATCTCAAGTGCGCGATTAGATTTTGACCGCGAGTCGTTTTCACGAAGTATCTTATGCCGCAGAAAAAAAAAACATGAACTCCATCCTAATAACCGGCTGCAATCGAGGACTGGGCCTGGGACTGGTGAAGGCCCTGATGAATCTTCCTCAGCCGCCGCAGCATCTGTTCACCACTTGCCGGAATCGCGGACAAGCCAAGGTAAGGGGTTCGTACTTGGTCCAGTAACCAGTAACAGTAAGTTAGGTGACTCACATTCCCCCAGAAACTACGCGAACAATCCGCTAGCATAAAGTTCGCTATAACTAATAAGTCACAATTCGCCCCGCCATTTCCCGCGTCCGATCCCAAAAACTCACCTTGCACGGGCGCCATTGTCTGTGGTTCTAGTGGCAGTCTCTCCAGGTAAATTATTCCGAAAACAAGGACTAGCAGTGGATAGGTAATGTGCGGCAACGCGGAAGTGGAAAAGCGGTTGCTGCGGTTTCAACTGTGTTTTTAAGCGGCTCGCGAAAGCACGAAACGAATAGGTGAAGATAGCTTTTACATTAGCTTTTGTAGAGATGGAGAAACGTCGATGCCGACATCGATGTCGACATCGATGTCAGCGATGTTTTCAAAACATCAGTCTTATCGATGTTGTTATCGAAAAATTCAAAATTATCTTTCTGTTAGTTCGACGTTTCGCTAACATTTCTCTGTTAGTCGACGTTTCGCTAAAATTTCACTGCAAAACACAACAAACACACCGCAAGCGCGCAAATTCACCGCTAGAGGTGGAGAAACATCGATGTCACCGATGTTTGGCGGGGCAATACTGATAGCTAACGATATTTCATCAGTGCCACCACTACAACTGCTGATTTGTAGGAGGGCGCCTTTTTTTTTTGCTTTTAAAATCAAAAACCAAAAACTATCAGTCGCTGTTAATCGATGTTTAACCTCTTGCTATTTTATTTCACCCACAGGAACTGGAGGATCTGGCCAAGCAGCACTCCAACATTCACATCTTGGAGATTGGTAATTGTTCTTTTGATCCATCAACCGCTTTTATAACTACATAGTTAACTCCGCAGATCTGAGGAACTTTGAGGCCTATGACAAGCTAGTCGCCGACATTGAGGGCGTGACCAAGGACAAGGGACTCAATGTGCTCTTCAACAACGCGGGCATAGCGCCCAAGTCGACGAGGATAACGGCCACTCGATCGCAGGATCTGCTGGACGCACTGCAGACCAACACGGTGGTGCCCATTATGCTGGCCAAGGCCTGCCTGCCGCTCCTCAAAAAGGCGGCCAAGACGAACGAGGCGCTGCCGATGGGCGTGGCCCGTGCCGCCATTATAAACATGTCCTCGATCCTGGGTTCGATTGAGGGCAACAAGGATGGCGGCATGTATGCGTACCGCACCTCCAAGTCGGCCCTGAATGCGGCCACCAAGTCACTGAGCATCGATCTGTATCCGCAGCGCATCATGTGCGTCAGTCTGCATCCCGGATGGGTGAAGACCGAGATGGGTGGCAGCAACGCCCCCTTGGACGTGCCCACCAGCACGGGTCAGATCGTGGAGACGATCGGGAAGCTGGGCGAGAAGCAGAACGGTGGATTCGTCAGCTACGATGGCTCACCGTTGCCCTGGTAAAGGATGTCAGACCCCATTTAACTGCATTCTGTTCCGTTTGTTTGTTAATTGTTGTTAAATAAATTGAGTGCCTCAATAGAATATGTGCTATTATTTATACTAAATTAAATTAAAGTGCTTTAAATTAAGATTAAACATACCTTTCTCCCCTCATAGCTGCGAATTTTAGGCTTCTTCATTTTTCCAAAGGATTTCAAGTTTAAAATGATAAATATAAAAAAATTACAAAAGTTCAAATACTCCTAACTTTAAAAGGGGAAGTTTTGGTCTTCAATGACCTATTATAAACAAATTTAACGTAAAAAATTTTTAAGAATTCACAAAGTATGATATTCCCCAATTTATACGAAAGTTCTCAAGTTTTGGGGTCTCCAGCAGCCCCATCGATCAGCATTTGTATTTCGTGAGGTGTCTTAAGTGGATAACATAGAAAAATATTGGCTTCCAGGCCGCCCGAGAGAACACAGTGATTTGCAGTTCCTTAATCTATGTACATACATATGTATGCCCGTCATGTGGGGCTATATAGTACGTGCTATTTCTGCCGCGGCGGCACCATGGCCACCGGAACCTTGGAGGGATCAATGCCGATGGCTTGGGCCAAGGGTGGCAACCGCAAGGGATTGGCATTGGATCCTCCGAATCCGGCCGCATCCGCTGTTCCGCCAGCCATGCTATTGGGATCGGGATAGGGAATCTGGCGCTGGGGCGGCACCATGGCCACGGGACGTGGTGAGGTCGTGGCTTCCGTGAGTGGAGCCACCAGGCCGCCGGACAGTCCGGACAACCCGTCCAGCGGGTGGGCCACGCGCTTCCGGAGGTCGAGGCGTGGCCGGCGGTTGTTCGCGTTGTTGGTCAGGGCATCCGCCGAGATTGGTGGCGGATCGTTCCAGCCGGGTGTCAGTGAGCCTGTCGAGAGGAAGGGTGCCGAGCGTTAGACATCATCACTTGGCCCAAGAACCAGGATAAGCTCACCTGGAAAGGCGCCCGATGGCGCTATGTTTTGCCCCGTTGGCGGTGGAGGAGGTGCAGCCGTCTGCTGTGGTGGTGGCTGCTGATTGCTGGTCGGCGGTGGCGGTGGTGGTGCCATGATGGCTTCTCTATCCTGATCCGGTGGCTCCTTTTGCTCCTCCGCGCGATCCTGGCCAGAAATTCATGCAAGTTTAGTATGCCCGTAGTTGTTTACGCTTTGTGACCAGTGTTGGGAAGTAGCTAAATAAGTGAACCTAAATAATTGTACCCAGTTACGTGCCTAGTTAAATCTTGGTACTACTTTTCACCCTACCCAGGTACAACAAAGTATCTAATTAAAAGTAAGCATAAACTTGAGTATTTAAAATTATAACAAAAATGTTTTAAATTGACTTTAAATTAGTTTAATACTTAAGATATAAAAATACAATAGCGTATTGAATGAGTTGATGTTTCATATTTAGCTATTTTTAAGTATTTCAATTAGTAATATAATAATATAACAAAAAGACTCTTCAGAAATAATTTTGTTTGAAAAATCGCAAAAAACTCCAAAAACACATTAAAAACGTGGTTTTTGTGTCAAAACTCTGGGAAATAATGGTCAAATGTTGGAATGTCATACACCGTTGAATTCGTAATAAAATTTCCAATCGAATGGCATTCACAGTTAAAATTTTTTCAGATTTTCAAATTTCTGCAAAAAATGATGATGTACCCCCTTACAAAAAAGTCAGAAATTTGGACAAAAATAAATTGTTCAAAAAACGTTTTTCAAAATTCGGTTTTTTTGTCAAAACTATTTTAATTGTTTTCAATCGATCAGGGATGGGTGGCATTGGTTGCCAGCTGTTCAAAATATCAACTCTATTGACTTTGTGTCTTATTTTGGCAAAGTTATAACAAAAAGACTCTTCAGAAATAATTTTGTTTGAAAAATCGCAAAAAACTCCAAAAAACACATTAAAAACTTGGTTTTTGTGTCAAAACTCTGGGAAATAATGGTCAAATGTTGGAATGTCATACACCGTTGAATTCGTAATAAAATTTCCAATCGAATGGCATTCACAGTTAAAATTTTTTCAGATTTTCAAATTTCTGCAAAAAATGATGATGTACCCCCTTACAAAAAAGTCAGAAATTTGGACAAAAATAAATTGTTCAAAAAACGTTTTTCAAAATTCGGTTTTTTCGTCAAAACTATTTTAATTGTTTTCAATCGATCAGGGATGGGCGGCATTGGTTGCCAGCTGTTCAAAATATCAACTCTATTGACTTTGTGTCTTATTTTGGCAAAGTTATAACAAAAAGACTCTTCAGAAATAATTTTGTTTGAAAAATCGCAAAAAACTCCAAAAACACATTAAAAACTTGGTTTTTGTGTCAAAACTCTGGGAAATAATGGTCAAATGTTGGAATGTCATACACCGTTGAATTCGTAATAAAATTTCCAATCGAATGGCATTCACAGTTACAATTTTTTCAGATTTTCAAATTTCTGCAAAAAATGATGATGTACCCCCTTACAAAAAAGTCAGAAATTTGGACAAAAATAAATTGTTCAAAAAACGTTTTTCAAAATTCGGTTTTTTTCTCAAAACTATTTTAATTGTTTTCAATCGATCAGGGATAGATGGTATGGGTTGCCAGCTGTTCAAAATAGCAACTCTTTTGACTTTGGGTCTTATTTTGGCAAAGTTACAACAAAAGACTCTTCAGAAATAATTTTGTTTGAAAAATCGCCAAAAATCCCAAAAAACACATTAAAAACTTGGTTTTTGTGTCAAAGCCTTGGGAAATAATGGTCAAATGTTGAAATGTCATACACCGTTGAATTCTTAATAAAATTTCAAATCGAATGGCATTCACAGTTAAAATTTTTTCAGATTTTCAAATTTCTGCAAAAAATGATGATGTACCCCCTTACAAAAAAGTCTGAAATTCGGACATAAATAAATTTTTCAAAAAACGTTTTTCAAAATTCGGTTTTTTTGTCAAAATTAAATAAATTGTTTTCAATCGATCAGGGATAGATGGTATGGGTTGCCAGCTGTTCAAAATAGCAACTCTTTTGACTTTGGGTCTTATTTTGGCAAAGTTACAACAAAAGACTCTTCAGAAATAATTTTGTTTGAAAAATCGCCAAAAATCCCAAAAAACACATTAAAAACTTGGTTTTTGTGTCAAAGCCTTGGGAAATAATGGTCAAATGTTGAAATGTCATACACCGTTGAATTCTTAATAAAATTTCAAATCGAATGGCATTCACAGTTAAAATTTTTTCAGATTTTCAAATTTCTGCAAAAAATGATGATGTACCCCCTTACAAAAAAGTCTGAAATTCGGACATAAATAAATTTTTCAAAAAACGTTTTTCAAAATTCGGTTTTTTTGTCAAAATTAAATAAATTGTTTTCAATCGATCAGGGATAGATGGTATGGGTTGCCAGCTGTTCAAAATAGCAACTCTTTTGACTTTGGGTCTTATTTTGGCAAAGTTACAACAAAAGACTCTTCAGAAATAATTTTGTTTGAAAAATCGCCAAAAATCCCAAAAAACACATTAAAAACTTGGTTTTTGTGTCAAAACCTTGGGAAATAATGGTCAAATGTTGAAATGTCATACACCGTTGAATTCTTAATAAAATTTCCAATCGAATGGCATTCACAGTTAAAATTTTTTCAGATTTTCAAATTTCTGCAAAAAATGATGATGTACCCCCTTTCAAAAAAGGCAAAAATTTGGACAAAAATGGCATTCACAGTTTTAAATGTTTAAATCTAACCAATTTTCGCAAAAAATGATGTAAGCCCTTACTATTGCCAATTATAAAAATTCCAAAATTCAATTTTTCTTCCATCCAACCAGAAAAACGATTGCTAAATTTCATATTACTTGGTTTGTCTTTTTTATTATTATTATTATTAATATTGTTATTTCATCTGACTTTGTCCGCATTCTTGCGTTAGGGTTACTCATAAACGTCGTTAATTTCGTACAATGGCTTAATAACCGTGCCTATATTTTAATCCGTTTTGTTTTTCTTTAGGTATTTGTTTTGTATTTAGTTTAGTTTTTTGCTACACCACACACATACATAAATAAAAACTTAAACAGATTTACTGCACACACATTTTTTTATACCTTGTTGACTACAAAAAAAAAATATTTTCGAATATTATTATTATTAGTCCATTTGCCATTCCCGATTTCGATTCAATTTGTTGGACTGAAAGTATTCTAATTCCGATTCCCAAGAATCCATAAGTGATCCGGATAAGTTAAGATCTCGGGGACTCGATAGAAAATGGGTAAAATCGCATCCGAAAAAAATAGATCGAAATGGATCTGGCAACCGGACCGTATGTGTATATTATGGTATATTAAGATATCATTCCCTTTTCGAATCTTTAAAGTGTTTAACATTGCGTAACATAGTTTGCTATTTTACTTGACCCACTCTTTTTATTTTAATATAAAATTCTGGATTTAGCGTCCGGATGCTTCGGAATTTCAATGGAATTTTTATAGAGTTCTCCTACGCATGTCATATTTCGTATCGCAACTATGTCGGTTCGTTAGTTAGTTAGTTGTGGTTGGAGTTGAAACCAACGTTATCTCCCGCCCTCCCTCTTCTCTAGTCGAATTGGTTTAAATAATTAATTACAACAACATTTACTTGGGAATTTCTTGGTTTTTTGTTTCTGACGTCTTAGCCTAATGCATTTTTTGCCGGTTTACTATTTGCATTCGTTTATTGGTTTTTCCTTTATCTTACAGTGCTTAAACTTGGCTAAATATTTTGTTTTTTCCTTTCCGTTTTTGTTTTTAACAATATCGCTCGTGGAGTGGTTTCTCTAAGTGATTCTCCTAACCATCCGCATCATCATCATCATCATCATCATCTTACCCCCATTTATTTATTAATTTTCTTTTTTTTTTTGGCAATGACTTACTGATTTTGTTGTTTCTCCTTTGAACGGTTTTTTTTTTTTATTTTTTCGGTTTGCTCTTGCATTTGTTTCGTTTAAAATTAGTTGTATTAAGTACGCTTCGATTTATAATTTATGTGTATGTATATCCGTATAGTAAATATGTTATAAAGTAAATAGATTACGTAATTGCAACACTTGCATCTGCTTCTGATTTTGATTCTGATTCTGTTTCTGGATTTGAATTTGAATTTGAATCTGTATCCGTATCCGTCGGATCTCTTCGGATTGATCTGGCTCTGTTAACACTCGGAGTCGCTTATGGGTATTATTACACATTTTATTGGGTTCTATCATATCGATTGTGGCCTATGGGCTCGTATTCCTTCCATCGTTCATTCGTTATTTTACAATTTCAATTTGCCTCTTGAAATTAAGGAAGTGCTCAAGCTTAGTTTAAACAATAAAAAAAAAAGTTTACAATATAAATTAGTGGTAGTGGTACTATAAAAAAAAAAAATAAACAGCAATGCCACAGAAACAACTAATGTTTTAAAATCACTTTTTAATTAATGATTCCACATAACTACATTCTATATTTTCTGCGGCATCCCCGATAATAAATCATTAGAACAACAAATTTTGTGAACGTACATAAAGAGGTTGGAATGCTTTCAAAACAAGGGGATACACACGATTAAAAACCTTTTGTTCTAAGACTAAAATGCACATATGCAACGAATAGTATAAATATATTCATATATATATATGTATAATATTGGAGGGGTTTATGGGGTAATCGCTTCTGCAGGCAAACCGAACTACTGGACTGGAATCGATCCTGCTCTCCGCTTCATGGCTCAATTGAAAATTGTATTTACAAAGAGTTTGGGTTTGATTAGGGGGTGTAGGCCGGTGGATCCTATGGGAAGGGGGTGTAGGTGTAGGTGTAGGTGTTGGTGTGTGTGTCGGTATGGATAGACACCACCCCATTATGACTCGTCGCGATTGTTGTGCACCCACTGGGCGGGCACCCATTGCGGCTCCCGTTCCAGCGAGTTGATCTCGGCCAGCAGCTGGTGGTAGGCGCGCTCCGTGTCGTTGTTGATAATGATCATATCGAATAGGTGACCCCAACGAGCCTCCATGTCCCTGGCCGTGGCAATGATGTCTTTGAGCTCTTCCTCCTACATATAAATTGGGTTAGATCTGGTTTTATACAACCATAGTGTATATGTAGATTCAAACTCACCTTGAAGGGTTCGCCGTTGCGCAGCTTCTTTTGGCGCAGCTTGTCCAAACTGGGCGGCGCCACCAGCACCACATAGGGCTTGAGGTCGGAGGCGCGCAGCAGCTTGAGGCTCTGCGGATGCAGGTTGAGCACACAGATCTTGCCGCTGGCCACCACCGTGCGTATGGCCTCCAGTGATGTGCCTGTTGCGTATCAGAAATATTAATACATATTAGTATATCTTATGTTATGCTGTTGTTGCCCAATCAAACTCACCGTAGTAGGCCTTCTCGTACTCGCCGTGCTCCACAAAGCGGCGCGCCAGAATGTCCGCCTCGAAAGCCTGGCGCGTGATAAAGTGGTAGTCCACTCCGGGCACTTCACCCTCCCTGCGGGCTCGTGATGTGTCTAAAGGAGAATAGCAAAGCACAATAATTAAATAGGATATTTGAAATCTTCTTCAAAGGTTTTGGGCTTGGTTTTGGCCTTGGTTTTGGAGGGGGGGATGGGGAGGACCTAAAGCTAGCAATGGCTCTTGGGACTCAGGGGCTCTGAAGCGCAGCCCCTTACCCTTGGCAGCCTGAGCCTTGACCTTGGCCGGCTTGAGCTTCTCCTCCAGCAAATAGAAGACTGCCCGGCGGAAGAGAGACAGACAGAGACGTTAAAGACGGGCCACACAAAGGTGGCTGTAAACGATGCAGCGGCATTTGGTGGGCGTTGATGCAAGACACATACAAACTCAACAGATGCTGCACTGTTTACAACCATCTTGGAATTAATGGATGGAAATAATATACGTCAAAGTAGGGCCACACAAAGGTGGTTGTAAACGATGCAGCGGCATTTGATGAGAATTGAATTGGCCATGACGCAAGCCACTTTAAAACTCTTTACCCAACAGTTGCTGCACAGTTTACAATCATCTTGACATGATCATGACTAGATCCTTGGTTAATGGGTGGAGTGCTGCCAGAGTTCGTAGGCTGTAGTCTTCACTTACGTGGCACTGCGGCGGAGAACCGCTCCGAGTCGGCCATCAGGCGTTGACGCAGCTCGTGTCTTCCAATGTTGGGCGGACCGATGAGGACGATGGGTCGCTTGTGGGTGGCGCGGGGATAGTACAGGGCCACCTCCTCATAGGTGAGTATCTCCTCCGGATCCGTTTCATCCGGCGCCGTAGTGGCGTACAAGGGATACCTACAAGAACGGGGAAAAGGGGGAAAACGTTTAGAAGGGAATTCGCTGCAAGAAGGGGATTAACCGGCTTACCCCGCCTCGGAGCTGGCCTTCTTCTTCTTTTTGCGACCCTTGCGCGCACAAAGGAGCGTGGCTCCTTTGCTACCCGATCCGTCCTTGCCCCGGGATCGGGCCAGGCCCGCCTCCTCCGCAATGGCCAGCTTCATGGTCTCGCGCTGATGCTGGAACGACTGACTAGGAATGAGACCGGCCAGCGTCTGGTCCTCCTCACCCTCGCGATACGCCTGCCACCAGTTGGGATCCTCGCGGCTGATCACGTGCAGGACATCGCCCTTTTGGAAACTGATGCCCAGCTCCCGGCACGGAATATACAGGTCGTCCTCCGGATCGTAGTCGAAGTGCGCCCGCACATGCAGCACGGCGGTATCGCGATGAGCTCCACCCAATCCCGCAAGGGTGTTACCGGTGCTGGCACCCATCACGCCAACGGATGGCGGACTACCCGCCGGGACGATGAGGAACGTCAGGGTGCCCTGCATGGCGCCCAGCAGAGCGCACACCTCGTTCACCGTCTTGCCTCGCAGTTCCTGGCCATTGACCTCCAGTATCTCGTCGCCTTCGTGCAGCAGTCCCGACTTCTCCGCCGCTCCGCCGCGCACAATCCTGCCAATGACCACCGCCTCGCCTTCGTTGCGAACCGTGGCGCCCAGTGGTTCCGTCGACTTCTCGATCTGTATGATCCGGATGTTGTCGTTCTGATCGTTCAGCGTGCCAAAGCAGGCACTCATCGGCAGCGATACGGGCATGGACATGGGCATTTGGGCCAGCGGTGGCATGGGAACCGGTGGCGGGGATTCCCCGCGCGGCAGTGGCATGGCTCCGCGCTGCGCCAGTGGTGGCGGCACCACCGGCGGCGGCACCACCATGCCGAGGTTTCGCTTTGCTCCTGCCACCGGACTGCTGTGGCCACTCAGTGTGGATCCCGCTCCCGCTCCCCCTCCTCCTGCTCCTCCTCCGATGGCCGGAGTGGGCGTGGGCGTGGGTGAGGGCGTGCCGTCCGTGTGGTTGGCAATGCGATCGTGGGCCAGAAGCAGACCCTCCATTTCGTGGCTGGTCAACAGGTTGCCCAGCTCAATGGCCGCCGCCGTGTTCGATTGCGTCAGCAGCTCCACAATATCCTTCTGCAGGCCGAGGGCACTGTGATGCAGTGGCCCGGAGACCCGGGAACGTCGTCGCTGCAGCACAGCGCTCCTGGCGGCCAGAACATGGGCCACACTGGCGCTGGCCAGGACACTGTGGGCGGCCGAAACACGACCCGCCAGCGTGCTCAGTCCGCTCTTGCTCAGCTGATTCTGCAGGCGGGTGAGGGCCGCTATCAGCTCGCCATAGCCTGGAAAAAAGGGAGCAGGTATTAGGTATAAGCTGGTATATAGAGTATAAGAGCTATTCATATTTCTTAAAGCTGTCCCTTCATTAGTGGGTAGTAACATGCAACTTAAACATCTTTAAAGTACGTATAACTATCTAAATAGTTAAAGGTTTGCAAAACCGAACTAGAAAAAGGACATTTAATTGGCAGGTCTTTTTTAACTCAATTACACGAAATATTTAAATATATTTACTGTAAAAAATAGTCTTTTTTTTTGCGATGCAATTGGAAGGTAACTCACCATCGATCTGTTCCGTCTGCGGTGGCTGGTCATCGTCGGGCAGATACGCCTCATTCTCCACGCCCACCACCTGAGTGGCCTGCGTTGCCTGTAGCTGTTGCTGCTGGGCGACCGCCTTTCCGGGCGTGGCCGTGTCCTGGAGCGCCTTCAGCTTCCGGGAGCCGCGAAGACTGTTCCGCAGGAACTCATTTTGCTGCGCTATGCGCTCCTCTTCCTCGCGTCGTCGGCGCAGTTGCTCCTGTTAAAATGGATTAAATCGGATGGTTGGTTAGAGAAACGAACCAGTTCGATTGGGGGAGTTGCGTGGATCGATTGCGGGGGAGGGGGTGGGAGCATAGAATTTAAAGTGGATGTGCAACTGGGGACCGCGATTGGGCGTTGACTCTTAAGTGGCGCACTTAATCCGCATTCGCCACAATTGCTAATTTAATTAGTGGCGTCCGAGCAGGGGCCACAGATTCCAAACAAAGAAGACAAACAAGAGCATGAATTTGTCTACGGGCTACCCTGTATTTGTGTGACTACTAAAATTTGTTTAATTGTTTAATTTTCAATATTTTTATCTATTGTAATTTTGATATTTGCACACTGTTGTTTTTCTCGATTTTCTAGTAAATATTATCCTTACTGAGTATTTTTTGGCTCACTTAAAGCTATATTAATTTGAATTTATTAAAAGACCTTTGTTTTTCAATCATAATTTTAATTTTAGTCTTATGACACTGGCCTTTTAATATTTTTACAGAGTATTTTGTTTGCCTACACTTCAAACTATAAAGGTTTGAATAAATTAAAAGACTTTAATAGCGCATCTCTTTATTTTTATCACGTTGTTGATCTTGGCACACAAACGTTTTAGCAGCTTATTTATATGCAAGTCATCGATTAATTTATAAAAATAAAAAATAAACAGGCTCTACCCATTTTATTCGATTTTATTTTTTGGGCATTTTTAATTCATGTCAATCAGTGAAGATTAAGTTGTACAGGGAACTTCAACCAACCGTTCCATATGCAGAGTATCAATGCGACTGCATTGGTCCAGAACGCGAAAGTAAAGGTGGGCGAGGGAGCAGGTGGGTGCGCCTGTGGCCCACTTTGCAAACCCAAGCAAATCCCATCGAGGGCCCCGGCGATGAGTTAATGAGCGTAAAGGGTTGACAAAAGGGAACTGGGGACAAATGCGGACCCGAGGTGGCGGTAACTGTTGCAATTGTTGCGGAAGCCCCTTAAGTGTTCGCCATTCATCGGAATGGGACGCGAAAAATGGAGTTCAGTGCTTGTCAAACTGCTTGCCAAACTGCTGCCATGGCCAGTAATTAAGATAATGTTTTTCAGGCAAATGGCCCAAAACGTGATAAATTTTCGATTCCGTGACCAACAAAAGAGAATGTTTCAAATCGATGACAACAATGAAGAGCAAAAGTTCCCACTACAAAAAAAATTCAGAACGGCCGCATGACAAAAAAAAATAAAAAGAAAAATAAACTTAATTGAATAACAACAGAAAAGGCGCTTGACATTCCAAAAGGCGGAAGAAGCAAAGCAAAGCAAAGAACAGAAGAGGAAAATAACAATAGCAAAGCCACTAAAAAATGAATTCTGCTGAACTTGCATAATCCGGGCAGAAGAGAATCAGCGAAAATTTCACGACTTCTGCAAGCGGAGGTGGTGTGGTGGTGTGGCCCACCACAGGTCGGAATGGCTGAGAAATACCACTCAGCACCCCGCCGGCCATCCAAGAAAACGCCATGTGAACCAAAACTGAATTTAACATTGAAACCTGAATGAAAAACGATGACATCGGTTCGCAAAATAAAAAAGACATAAAAACTAAACCAAAACAAAAATATTTCAAAGTCACAGCATCGCGAAAAAGATAGTACGGTTTGACAGTCACAAGTTGTAATGATTCTAAAACTGCAAGCACTTAAAAGTTGTTTTTTTTTCCCTTAGAGGACAAAGCTCAACAAGGTTAAATAGTTTTTGTATTTTAACGATTTTCAGATGATTAAATTTTCACGAATCAAATGTAATTAAATATACAAATATACAAAATGTGGGTGGGTTTTCAAAAGTACATATGCTTCTAAAATGAAAAGAACTAAGAAAATTTCCAGCTAAAAGCTTGTTTGAACTGCAATTTGAGAACTAAAGATAACTTTTAATTAACAAATTCTGCGAAAACGGCTTTGTAAACACAAGACAAAGGTAATCAATAATGTGCATTTTCCAGTAAAACGAAAGTTCAGGTGCAGCAAAGGGATTTGGTTTTCAGTTATAGCAATTAAGACGCCAAAGCAGTCAACTCCCACGCAAATGTATAAATAGACAGACGTAGAGCGAGTGAAGCCTACAAAAGACCATCAATCATATGGCGTACCAACAACACCTTGAGAAATTGTAAAATATTAAAAAAAAAATAAATAAAAGGCATACTTCAAAAGACAATAACAATTGTCGGCGGCAACGCCATGACATCATCATCGCCATTTCCAGCAAATGCCGGCATAAATAAAAAACAAATATTGAAAATATACGCGTACTGGGGAAATTAAAAATATATTACTGCCGATACCCTAAGTTGAATGGGGTATGCTCAACCCTCTCATAACTTTAATATTATATGGGGTTTAAGGGTATTTGGCTTTTCTTTGCTCGACAACATTCAGCAACGCATTGCCACTATCGCACAGGTAAATTGTTTTTGCCTTTTTCGTTTTGTTTTTAATTTTTATGGCTCGGCAGCCAGTTAGCCAAGTTGTCAACTGGTTGTTTTTGTTGGTTTGACTGCTTGCTGCTGTGTTGTCGTTAGCATATATGCAGATAAAGCCAGTTGTCGCTGGCAACAATGTATATATACACTGAAATCTGATTATTCAGGTATATAAAAAAGGAATAAGGTACAAATTACACTACTTTCTTAATACTCAAATCACGAAACATTTTTTTGTTACATTGCTTTAATGATTATTATGTTGGCCACACTTTTTTTTTTATAGATGTTTTGATTTGGGTAACCAGTTATAAAGGAATGCAATTAATTAAAATTTTAAATTAGGTAGCCAGTTTTAAAGGAATGCAATATAAAGCTTGTTCATCAAAAGCTTGAAAAGTAAGTAAAACATATTAATATATCGACAAAGTCAGGGTGCAAATCGATCAATTTATGTAGAACATATAACGAAAATACTTCCTATGACGCAGACGCCCTATAAACTTGCCTGTTGTTGTCGCAAACGCGTCGAGGATCGTTGGATTTGAATGCCGCGACGAAGGGCGGAGGCGCTGCGCTGGGGCGTGGCAGTGGTTGAGGCAGGTGAGCCGACATATTGTTCCGGGGAATTGGGAGATCTGAATCCTCCACCCAATCCGATACCATTGCCATTCATATCACAATAGTCGCTGTTGTTATTATTATTATTGTTATTATTGTTGTTCATGTGGTTCTCCTTCTCGTTCTGTTGCTGTTGCAATTGCTGTACCGACAGCACGGCAAACTTGGTGGGCGATGTTGCTGCTCCGACAGCAGCAACTGCTGCCTGTCCACCAGCAACATTGCTGCCGTTGTTCTCCAGTGTTATGTGCAAAGTGGACACGACCATTTTTGAATTGCACTTTCATCGATCTCTGTCTCCGGGGTTCGGTGACGACAATCTCTCCTAACAAACCGAAACCAAAACCAAAACTGTCACCAGCTGCAGCAGCAACATCAGCAGCAACTATGCAAATGACCACGCCCACACTTGGGCAGTGCATAAATTTGAATAGGGAATTGGGTGTTCCAAATGAAATGCATCTTAATGCGCATTTCAGCTCAAATTGCTGCTGTTGCCGTTGCCATTGCTGCTGCTGCTGCTGCTGCAGTGGATAAAAAGCTATAAAAAGCGAAAGTTGAGCTGGCCGAAATAGTTCTGGCCCAGACACGCATCGCCAGCACAGCAGCAACACGAACAGCAGCAGCAACAGCAACAGCAACAGCAGCAACAGCACAGCAGCAACCGCTTTCCTTTCAGCTCGTGCAATTTACAACTATTTACTTTAACACATTTGTTTATTTATGGGCTTTTTGTTATTGTTATTTTTCTTCACTATTGTTGCTGCTGTCGCTCAACATTCAACGTGCCTGAACTGGGGAATGGGCCGTATTGCTGCTGTTGACGCTGCATTTACGCTTGGCACATCAATAACAATAAGAAGTACTCGCACACACAAATACACACACACACACTCACATTCATGGCAACAATAAAACAAAAAAGTAAAAACAGTTCACCTTAACTGTTTATCATTTATATTAAAATTTTTCAGCTGCCTTTCGCAGGTATTTTCTGTTGTTGCTTTCGGGTCTGCAGGCAAATTAACGACGTGAGTCAGAGCAAAGTCCAAAACTCAGGCGATCACTTCAACGGAGTATGATAAAAATATACGATAATATACATATTTGCAGTATGCATCTATTTTATTTTAGAATCACTTTTTATGTATGTGATTTCTTATTTAATTTTGTCATTTTGTTCAAATTGTTTCGCACAAATTTACATTTGTAAGTCATAGCAAAAGCCAATAAACAAACGATCACTTTAATTGTATATGCGTTTAAATATGTAATTAAAATGCATACACTTATATGGGTTGGTTTTTTGATGGTTTGAGGACTTGTAATCCTCTGCAGGATATTTCGTATTTATGCATTAATTTTTATTTGACTGATTACTACACTGAAAAATCAATGGGTTTTTGTAATCATTCTGGTATTTTGTATAGATAATTAAAACTTTAATAAACCTCTATGTAAAGTTCAAAAGCATTTAAAAAATGTTTTATTATCATATCTGATTTGTTCCTTGGTCGACTGCCCAACTCATCGACTTTAATTCGCTAAATTCAAGGGATTGACATATTGATGTGCATATTTTCCTGAGCTGGTAACACTGCTGGCCAAGTCCTGGTCACACTGTACGGCTAATCCTTTGCCTTGTTGGGCGTATTGCAGTCTGAAACCAGTGCCCGTTTGTGTTATTTAGCCAGCTTTTTTCAATAAGGTATTCCACTTTTTTCGGGGTATTTCATTTATTCCACATATTTTCAGTGGTTTTTGTTTTTTTTTTATTTTATTTTTTTGCGGTTACGAGAGCAACTTTCCGTTATGGCTGCAACTGCCACGCCTGTTTTGCTGTTTTTTTTTCCGTTGCTGCCCATAAAATGTTGTCGAATGTTGTGTTGCCGTTTGAGGTACTTGGAAATGGTTGTTCGTGTGGCGGTTGGTACGTGCTTTTTGGTCCCAGAATTTCTGCCAGTTATGGGCGGTTTTTGCAAGCCGCGCCTTATTTGCATGACTCTGATTGCACAAAAACACACACAATCTGAAACACACATGGCAAAAAAAAAAAAAAGGAACATAAACCCCACGGCCAGTTCTTTGAAAACCGCTGCACTTCTAAACAAAAGAATTCATTTTCACGGGGGAAATGCATCCATTTAAGGAGGTATTTTTCGTAGCAGACATACATATACATATGGTCTTATCTAATCGGTTATCGGTTCTTTGTCACGCTTTTGGCCCGAACAGAAAAAAAAAATGGGTGGAAATAATCAACAAAAATTGCGGCCGATCGCAGAACGCGTAGAAAAACAACTAAAACGCCAGCTGAAAATCATAACAAACTAGCGCTGCCAAGCGACGTCGACGTCGACTGAGGCAGAGGCATAAGCAGAGGCAGAGGCGTCGGCAGAGTCACTGGAATATATAGAAGGTGTCGGGAAGCCAGAAGAAAAGAGAGCGGAGAACAGGTGAGAAGAGAGCTCGAACAAAAGTTTAAAAATACCTGCATACATGTGTTTAAGTCGGCTTGGAGAGACAAATGCGCAGAAATGGAATGTTTAACTAATTTGCGAACATGCGCTGCCCAGTGACAGGGCTTCTAGGGGAAAAAACAGAAAGAAAAGGGGGCTGAAAGCAGGTGATAACAACCGCCAGTGGCAACCAGCAGTAGCAGCAACACCCTTCGGACAGCAAACAAACAGAGCAGCAGTTCAAACAAGCAGGTTCAATTTAAACAATGTTGGGCGCTCTATTTATACAAGATTTACGATAGCGATAACGAGCGCGATAACAATGCCAAACATGATAAATCCAATAAGAATGCCTATTAATTATGACCCTGATAAGGGCCCTGAGTGGGTGTTACATTTAATGAGATGCTATTACGAAACTAAACCTCAAGTATCGCACTAATTTAGATATACGCTGAATAAGGTTAGTAGATTAGTGCATATCTTGAAACTACAATACGCTTAAGCTAATTTCTCTTTGTTATTATACAAATTTTAATAACTTTCGAACTGTTGTATCGAAATAATCGTTAACAAATGAATCGCAGAATCTTATGAAGTAAACCTTGAAAGCGAAACTAAATAATTAAGTGGTTTAAAATTTAACTTAAACTCATTCTAGCAACAAATGTTAAGTTACAAAGAAATTCGCTTAATACCGAAGCGATTCCACTATGCTTATAAGTGTCATCAAGGATCCCTCCCTTCATCTTAAATAAATTACATTTACAGGGCTGAAATGTACCCACATAGCACCGACCTAAGCATTATCTTTCATATGTAAATAGCTTTTGAAATCTTTCCTTAGCTGTTGTTTTTAATTTTCTCTTTTCCGGCACGCACAAATGCATGAAGATGGATTTTATGTGCGTTCCCATTATCCATTGTCCCCCCCTTTTCCACCATTTGTGGCTTCATTCTCTTAATGAGCTTATATCTATAATCGCCACCCTCTCACAGTTTTCACACTAAATAGTGTACTTTTTCCCATCACAATGGCTGTCAAACTGTATGCCACAAGCCGCATTCAGTTTTCAATTAATTACATTTAGCAAATGTGTTTTAGCCACTACTCCGTCTCTGTCTCATTTCCCCCACCTTTCCTGTCTCTGTCGCTCTATTTATTTTTTTTCTATCGCTTTGTCTATGTCGGCTTAGGGCGGAACGTAACAATTCGATTAAAAGTTGCATAATTAATCATTGCATTAAACAACTTTTTGCCACCCCCACCTCGTGTTTGCTTCCTGTAGAACAACGCCTATCGCAAAATTCCCCATCACCCTTTTGATTACGCCGCCCCTGGAAATCCACCCACATGCCCTGCAGTCTTCCGAATGAATGCAAAATGTTTTACTTTTAAACAGCATTATAATTCAACTTCCCTCCACATATAACCCCCCTTTTAAGCCCCCTGGTTTCCCTTTTCTGCCACTTTCGAGTGCACAGACAGAAAAAAAAGTTGTTGGACAACTTTTTCACGCCCCCACACACACAATGCCGTACTTAAAACTCAGCTACGCCCTTTTGCTCCGCCCCTGCCATCAGGTTTATTGTCTTTCGGCGCGGTAAACTTTTTAATAGTTTTACTAGTTAAATGCAATGGTCAGACCAGAGCAATCAAAATCAGCTAAATTTCTCTTTCGCTTTTATATTTTGTAATTTTTCCGCTAGCCGGTGTGATCATTGCAGTTTGACAGTAACTGCCAACGGTCAATGGTCAATGGCCCACCAAAGAGGTAACAGAAACTCCAATGATTATTGGGGGAAACAAAAGAACGTGGCATAAACCGGAAACATTGCCCCCAGACATTCAACAAACAGCATTTATTATTACAGTCAGAGGGGGCAAGAGTTAGAGGAAGTGGGTGAGTACCTGCTATGCATGTTAACGAGCTGCATTTGAATTGAAAATTCTAAAAAAAAAAACGCTCTGTTATTGTGAATCACCAAATGCTTCAACATAGTGTTCACAAACCAATGAAAAATTATCTGCTTTAAATTGCTAGCCAATCGATTAATCTATAATCAAACTGTAGCAAAATTGAATGGTATTCTTTCAATATTGCCAATGAAAATAGAGCCAATATTTTGTTTCAGATAATTTTTAAATTGTTTTAAGTTTGGCACATAAAATGTAATATTTTGTGCTTTTTTTATATTTTTTTTCTGCTCGTAAAAAAGTATTTGTATTATTTAATTGTAATTTTACATTTTTGTAAAATATTTTTTAAAACTTTTCATTTCAGACACTTTAAAACTAAAAAATACTAGAAAAATAAGAAGTTATTGTTTTGTGGGATGAATCTATTTCTCGCGAAATTTTTTTTTTGTTTTTTGACAGTGTGTTATTTTTGATGGCAAGTCCACAGTTGCACAGCTTTACAAATTTCATAGTCTAACCCTGGGGTTGCAGCCTTAAATGATAGTTTGACAGTCACAGCACTTACCTGGTATTTCTTGATGCTGTCCAGCTGCTCCAGAGTGGGCTCCACGATCTGGGCGATCTGCTGTTGCTGCAGCGGATGCGGTGGACCGCTGCTGCTGCCGCTGCTCCCATTGCCCGGCGCCCGCCGATCCGGAAGTTGAGGGGCAGGGGAGCAATTGACCAGACGCCCATCCTTTTCCACCCGCAAGTGATCACGGGGCGGCGGTACGGGCTTTGCATTCCCATTGAGCTGGACCAAAAGAAATGGAAAATGGAAAACAGGGCGAGACCCATTAGTTATGTACCATATGGCGTATCCTTCAGTGTATCCTTGTAAGTGTTTTCGAAACGAGCATGTGTGTGTTTGTGTGTTTATGAGAGTGTGTATGGCTGATGGTTGTTGGTCATTAAAGTTGAATGAGTTTATTTGTTGCCAGTGTTCTGTGCATTTCCCCTGCAGGATGAACGAAACGGGCCCTTACATTTAGTGAAAAGTGTGAATGAAACCTTCACCTTCTGGCAGTGGCGTAGTACGGGTTTTATCAACAGTAATTTCGAAAATGTGGTGTTATTTGTGAAAATGTAAAATTGTTCTTTTTTTTCCTATTTTCTTTATTGTCACAAATCATATTTCTGTCATGCTGCCAAATTTCATATGTATTATTTGTTTAAACCTAAAGCACACAAAAATTATGTAAGTTCCTAAAACTATTTCATTCTATTTAATATGTTGAGTTTAAGCCAAACTTGCCTAAGAAATTAAAAAAAAAAGTTATTCTATTTAAATTTAAGGCTTTTTTAAAATGTACTTTAAAAATATTAATTTTGAAGTTTCTGTCAGAAAATTTTATAGAAATGTTGCGAGGGTTTTAAAACCGAAAACACATACGCCACTGTACGTGTTCTACCCTCATAAAAAAGGAATCCCCACTCAGTTGGTCTTATATTTGGTGTCGCTTACTGGCGAGAATTGAATACAGTCCGTATTTAAATGCATTTACTCTTTGGTTCCATTTATTCAGCTCATTGTCAGTTGGAGAATAAAGAATATGGAAGGCGAAAAAAGGAAAGCGCTCATTTTGCTTTTGTTCTGCAGCCATTGGAAAATTAATCGAGAGCAATTTCATATAAATGGCATTTATTTTTCATCGCCTGAAAAGAGCGCCAAACGGGGAAAGGGGTGAAAGCGAGCGAGGAGCTGCAAATGATGAAATAAGCGGAACAGCGGGCGGTAGCACCACCACCACCCACTGTGTGGGAGGTTGGGTGGGTTGACTAGGTGCCTGGGTAGTGTGCCTCAATGTTGTTAGGATTATGCCCCGCTAACGAGGCCAACGCAGCGGCTCTGATGCCGTGAATTAGGCCAACCGGCTGAACAAGGTGACAAGCTGAGTGGGTGTAGGTGTGGGTGTAAATGTGGATGGGGGTGGGTGTGGGTCTGTTTGACTCCCGGAGAATCAGAGAACCAGGTAACAAATGGAGGTTACGGGTCAACTGGGGGACTTGGACCACCGACCTGCACCGCCGAATGAAGAAAGGGAATCAATGCGAATGCGTATGCTGCTGAACAAAAGGGGTTAAGTGGGCGCCGCATTAATTAGCCGAGTTGAGTGAAAAAACGACGCTAAAATTATCGACCCATATTTTATATTACTTTATACGTATACGTTTGGATACATATATGCGATTCCATAATTTCCGGTCCTCCGGTCATTTAATGCAATATTCATGGATCCCATTAAACTGTCATGTTGTTTTTATTTTAAATCGCTTTTACCGGGGATTTTGTTTTGTTGTATGTTATGTTGTCTAAACAGTCTTTCAAACCCAATTGGTTTGGTGGCTAAAAGTATGGATTATTGTGCATAATCCATCACAAAAATGGTGTCTATGCTCATTTTGATAATTACAATTTGACAATCATTTTAAATATATATATCGTTAGCTGTGACATTTTACGGGTTTCAAACGGCCTAAATAAATGACTTAAATTTTGTGTAAAGTTCTACTAAAAAAAAAAGGAATGAATAAAAAATAAATCTATTTAAAAATGAGGAATATTTATTTGTTTTTAGATATTCCATTTTTAAACTTGAATTTATTAATTCAGTCTATAGTTTGCAGAGGGTAGAGCATATCAAATATCCCTAACAATTAATCAAATGCCAAAACACAAAACACTGAAACACACTAAAACTAAAAGTTACTGAAAGATTGGAGAAACAGAGAAGAGCGAAACGGAGTGACAGGGAGAAAGAGCAGAGCGGAGAAGAGTAGAGTCTCCAGTGAAAAGTTGAGACAGATGGCGAGTGCAAATGCAATGTGGTATACCTCATCGGCCACCCGCCTCGCATCGCCAACGTCAACAACACCAGAAACCGCAGCAGCAGCAACACTTGCGGTTGCACACGCTGATGTTGCTGCTGCTACTGCCGCTGCTGCTGATGTTGCTGCTGTTGCTGATGTGGCTGCTGCTAATGTTACAGGCGACACGCCCAGCGAGGAGAGCGTGGTGTGGGCGGTGGAGGTGCTGCCGTTCGATAGTAGCGATCCGCGAGAAGAGAGATGAGCAGGTGGCGGATATCTTGGCGGAGTCTTCACCATCTCGATAAAGCTGTCTGGAACATCCACGGGCAACTCGCGATGTTTGGCCGTCGGTGGCAGCAACATCGAAACGGGAGCAACCTGATGTTGCTGCTGATGTTGCTGTTGCTGGCTCACCTCGTAACCGGGCGGCGCCAAACTCAAATCATCGGGCACCGTCGAACTGCTGGTGGATGTGGCACTTGCAATGTTACTGCTGTGACCGCTGCTGCTGCTGCTGGTGTGCATCGAGCTGTTGCTGCTGTTCAGCGAATTGCTGTTGCTGTTGCTGCTGTTGGTGCTGGTGACTCCGACGACTGCTGCATTGGTATTATTTGACTCGGCCGTGTTGTTGCTGGTATTGCTGTTGCTATTGCTGTTGCAATTACTATTGCTGTTGCTGCTGTTGCCGTTGCTCGTTGCCTGATGTTGCTGGTGCAGGTGACGATAGGCGATGCTGCCAAAGGAGTCCAGGGTATGTTTGCTCATCACCTCGTCGAAGGCGCTCGACGAGGGCGAGGCAGAATCCTTGCGTCCTTGATATAGACCATCCACAACGCACAGGAAGTCGTCCGTGATGCTGCTGTTGTTGCTGTTGCTGCCGACGGTGTTGGTGTTGCTGCTGCTGCTGCTGCCGTTGGCATTCGCATTGCTGTTGCCATTGGGATCGCTACTTAGTGTTGCCTGCAACTTGTGGCTGGGCGTCTGTTGCTGAGCAATTTGTGTTGCTGTCGTTGCGGTTGCAGCTGGCAATTGTTGCTGCTGCTGTTTCTGCTCAAGTTGTTCGTGTTGTTCCGATTGCAGACAGTTTTCATAGTTTTCGATTTGTTCCAATTTGTTTTGTTGTTTTTGATTGTACAGGTTTTGTGTGGCCACATCGAGTGCAATTGTTGTTGTTGATTTTGATGGGTGTTGTTGTTCATGATGTGGTGGTGGTGGTATTGGTTGTTGTAGTTGTTGTTGTAGTTGTTCATGTTGATGTGAAGAATGATATGCAACAATTAACATTTTGTTAGCATGATCATTGTTAGTCATAGCTGTGATTGTGTTGGTGTGGTTGGTGGTAGTGGTGTTGTTGGTGGAGTTGTTGGTGAACTTGTTGGTGGTGCTTTTCTTGTGTTTCTGTGTGCGTGTGGGTTAAGTGGGCGGTGGTGGTGCATGTGGTGTGGTGAAAAGAGAATGGATGTATGTATGAATGATTTGAATGTGAATTTGGGATGGCTGGTTTTAATTTCCTTGGTTAGTTGCATTACTTTCGGGTGGTTGTTATCTTGGATTTGGGTTTCAATTCCAATGGTGGTTGCTAGCGATTGTCAGTTAAAAAATACTTTATAGGTATATATACAATTTTGGTAGAAGAAGTTGGTATTTGTTAGTTGCTTACATTTGGGTGGAAGGTTTTTCGGTGGTTTTCTTAAGTCTTAATGTAAAGTTCTTGTTTAAAATAATAGGTTCCTAGCTTCAAAGGGTGTTTCGGGAGGTACAAGTTGTAAGTTAGAAAGCGGTTATCACTTGACTTTTAACTAAAAGTGGTTTTTGCTTTTATTTTGACTATTCCAAAAGTTATTTGTTACTTTCGTTCATATTTGGTTTAAATGTTTAGTTAGGTTTTGGGGTAATAGATTGTTTGTTAGTGACCTACTTATGTTTAGTGGTTGTTATTAAGGGAGTGTAAGGGTTTTTAAAATACTATGTATACTAGTGTAAGCGGAAGCTTTGTTAGTGATTCTTGGTTTTTACAGTTTTTCAAATACTGCTGGGAATTATGCGACGTTATTATTGATTTATGGTTTCTTTTGGCTTGGTTGTTGTGGCTGGTTTTTGTGTGTGTGTGTTTGAATGTGGATGGGTGGGTGATAGGTTTTTGTTCAGATTACGGATTGCTGGTGGCATGCATACCTGCGGTGGACGGGGTGGCGGATATCTGGGTGGCGTCTTGTTACGCGCGATGAACGTGTCCGGACAATCGACGGCCATCTCACGGTGTGGACCTGAACGGAACAAAGTAACAGAGGCACTCCGGTCAGTTCGAGGATTGATGCCCACACATCCAGACACTACTCACCGTTATCTTGGTTCACGGACAGCATGGTCAGCATTTCCTGGTCAATTTCCCTGATGTCGCCCGAGTGCGTGCGATAGTGCTGCTGCTGCTGCTGCTGGAGCGGATGTTGCTGCTGGAGCTGCTGCTGCAGTTGCAGCTGCTGTTGGTGGTTCAGGTGGTGCTGGCCGCTTATGTAGTCATCCGGCAGACATGGCTTCAGGTCGTCGCCGTCCAGCACAACAATGCTTGAGCCGGAGCGCCGGCGATTCCTGTCAATTGCAAAAAGAAGGAAAGGTAGTATTCGTCAGATGAGGTGGTCATCAAGCGTCAAGAGGCTGGCTGGCAAACGCTACTGTAAGCCCTAACAACAGTAATCAAATTTGTAAATTTGCAACTCGATTTAACTAAGGTTTAAGGTTTATAAAACTTATTCCGAATGTAACTTATTTCATAATTTTCCTATGACCTTAATGAAGGAAAGTAAAAGCATAAGTAAAACTTTAGAAACAATACTTAGAGGGTTTAAATCACAAAATGTTTCACTAGCAACATTTGTTTAGTAAAAATCAGCCCAATAAATTGATTAATTTGTGTGCAAAACAACAAATACTTTCTCCCAGTACATTGATTTTTTTGTTCAGTGCATTTTTTCAATTTAAATTCGCCGCTTCTGTTGATGGCAAACTTTCCTTCAATTTTGGCTCAGGTGAAAACCGCAGTTTGAAAGCCACAGGCCGGGAATTGGATGGATGGATGAACGGGCGAACCGAGACTCTTTTATTATTTCAAAAAGTTATCCGCACAAAGAAGCTTCGGGGGTATGGCCATGGATTAGGAATAAGCAACTTGAAACTGGAACGCTCCCCAAAAACTTTCTTATAACTTTGCACTTTTGCGTGGCTCTTTCATTATGCACGGTGGCAGGGGAAATGACTGGTTTGAAGGCAATTTGCGCCTTAATTTGTTCGGCTTTTGGATTATGGGCTTAGGCAGTGAAGGTGAGCCAAGTCGGCTGGCTAATTGCAAAAAGCTCAAAGTGGAATTTAATGCCGGACCAGCCTAGAAGTATGCAGCACTGCCTATTATCGCCCTTCTCCAGGCGCTGATGCGACAAAAGCAATTTCAGCCACCGCACCCTGGCAACGACATCAGAGTGCAGTGGTAACCCCATCTCCTGATTCAGTTCTATCTACAACAGCACATCCAATCCCCTTGATCCATGTCCCTCTGGCTTCTGATGACGTCACAAGCAGCAGTCAACGTAAGCTGCAATACGTGACCCACCCACAGATTTTTACTAAGAAAAATATCACTTAAAGGATCAGATCAAAGAACAGAGTATTTATATAAAGACTCAAGAAACTTTTCGTTGGCGAATAAATAAATATACTTTATAATAAAATTCTTTACTCCAATTAAAGATGTTAACCAAGTTTTACCAATGAAAATGTACATAAAAAGCTAATAGTCTATTTCTTAGCTATAGCAAACTTCTTTAATTTACAGCACATTATCATCTTCTGCTTCTTTTAAGTAGATAGCATACAGATTTTTTCAAAATTTTTCAAAACCATATGTGGCTTGTTGTTATCATAAAACTGTCACCATTTTGCACTTTCGAAGACCTTGACCCAATTCACAATTTCTTAAATAGATTTAAACATGTGTACAATTAAACCGATTCCATTATAACTGAAATAGCGATGGCATGCACATTTTCTGTGTGCTCCCCAGAGCTCAACTTCCTCCTGTGTCACCGGCATTTGCTACTCATTTTACCAGTGGAATTCAGTTCTTTTCTCATAGAGAAGGCCTTCCCATACAATGACGTTGCAGTGTGGCATTAAAAACCGATTTCTGGAGAATGCAACGACGACAAAATGGCCAAGATGGCTCCCATACACCCAAGAACGGGGAGATGCGTTGTAGATGGTGATGAAGATGGTGATAGAGGGAATGTGAATCCAAAACGAGACGACGACAACGGGCGAGACAATTCAATTTGCGTAACAGCAGACGACCAGAAACGGGAGGCGAACCATCTGGGGCTAGAGCAACTCCAACTGGTGGCCCACAACGGAATCTGAGGGAAAGAGGAAGGGGGAGTGGGAGTGGGAGTGGGATTGGGAGGGGCACTGCCAGTTTGAAGTCAAGTTAACGGGCAGTGCAAATGAGTCGAACAGACGGGAAGAAAAGACTCAGTGAAGAGTGCACCGTGAGGAGCGGGAAAAAGAGCACTATAAACGAATTAAAATGCCTTTGGCTCTGACATCAAGTAAAGACCAAGGCCAGTCGTAGTCTAGCGACGGTAGCGATACAAGCAACAACCATTGCTTCTACGGCAGCAACATCAGCAAGAGCAACTGCAACATCTGGTCAGTTTGGCCCACTCCATTCCTTTTTTTTGTATACCCACCATCGTATTGTCGACCGCGAAGGTCGCAATTTATTCAAGATGTTCGATGAGTGACGAAAAAGTTACGTATAAAAGAGGATTTCTAGTCTATGTTGAGATGGGCTATAGGCGAATTGCAAATATGTTATTAAATTGTAAGTACATTTGTAGCTTTGGGGTATACAAAAATCCACTATAAATAAAATATTAATTAATTGCCCCGATGGCCACGCAACTTAAAGGGCGCCTTTGAAATGCCGATTTAATTCAATTATAGTGCATATATTTATGTACACATCAAACATCAAAGCTGTTGGCCAACAAAATTAGAGAGGTGGATACGAGAGTGCCATAACAATCGGCTTGCTGGCTGTCATATCCTTATTTTGCAAGCAATTAGCAGCACACATAGCCGGCAGCTATATGTCATGCATCTGATTCTCACCATGACATGCTCCATCTAATGACCACATCGGTATTCGCCCGATCCACAATCCTCTATCCCCACACCCACTGCTATTTGCAGCCCCCTGTCGTATCTGCATCTGTATCGGTATCTGTATCTGTATCTGTTTATGTGTCATAACGAGCAGAACAATGCGAGATACCCGCAAATGTCCCCCCATTAAACCACCCCCAACATACCCCATTCCTAGTGGGATGGTGGGTGGGTGGTCGCCAGGAAGGAAACCGACGGAGCTGTCAAAGTGGGCAATGCAAGACCGCAACGATTCATACATCGATGACAAGGCAATGCCATTTTGCGGAACTGCCATGTCCTTCTGTTAATCGCACAAATATTTTAAACATTCCCCTGTCACCAACATAATCCTTTTTATTTTCCGCATAACAATTGAGGTCTAATTGAGTAAAGAAAAATTCTGACATTCAAATTGTTAATAATAAAATAGGGCATCAAGCAACATGATTTGCTGCGCTATTTGTTTGTTTTTATAAATTATTGTTAATCAAATATAGTTGGTTATAAATAATATCAAACCCTTTAATAAATACATAGATTTAACGTCTTATTTACGGAAACCATAAATCAATAATATTTTTTTTTTAGCAAACACTTCACTTACATATAATTTACTTTGATGTGAAATGTTTTCATATTTTACTTCTGTTTTTAAACAAGTAAAATTAAGCTTTTCTTTTGGTTTATTCTAACTTTAATAAATTCTTAAAATGCATGAAACAATGTGAGCTGTGATTGGAAACTAGTTAAATAATAATTGGCAATTTCCGGGTTTCCTTTTTTCAGTGCATATCGCCGTAGGTTAAGGATGGCAATTAGCCAGGTGGAGGGCGGGGCAGCGAGCCAGCGATGAAAGGAGACAGATAAACGCAAACAACACATGGAGGAAACCATTAAATGTATTTTGCATTTCCAGCTGTCCGTCGGTGTATCTGTAAATGTATCTGTAAATGTATCTGTATCTGTCTCTGTATGGGTATGAGCAACTGACCAGAAGAGCGACACACATTGTTGTTGCTGCTGCTGCTGCCGTTGCTGCACGACAGCAACATGCGACATGTTAATTGTTTATGGCCAGCAAGCGAGCACGAGACAAAAGTGTGGGGGTTAGGGGTTAATAAACAAGTGCGGACAATGGTATAGCATTTAGTAGGCAAGTATAATTTTAATTTTTGATATAAAACTTGTGTTAAATGCCTGCTTTGTCAACTTTGATTTACTTCAGTCAAACATTCTACAAATTTGTATTTTTTTAAATATTTAATTTAAACTCTTAGCGATAATTCAAAGTATATTTTTTTTTGTTTTTTTTATTAGAAGGTGCATTTTGATTAACTCTTTTATAAAGATTGCCATACATTAAATATTTGTAAGTATTTTATAAGGATAGTAAATTATGATTTCATAAAATATCAAAATTATTGGCTAAAATATTGAGGTGCTTTTAATTTGTCCAATGTAAAATATTTTTTAAATATTTTTTGGCACCACCATTTATTGACCAATGCTATTAATATGACCGCATTTGCGTCCCGAGCAATACAAAAAGAATAGCAACAGGTGGACGGGGAAATCCCCTAAACTGCGATATAGCCAACGATTTTGGGAGGGTTCAGTTCATCATGCTTGAGGGCATGCAACAAGTGGCTGGAACAGGTGCAGCTCGAGAATCGGGAGTCGAGAATCCGGAGCTGGGAATTGCAGGAGGGGCACAACCGGAAGAGACTTATTAGCAGCGGAAGTGGCAGCCATGAGTCACCCGGTAGCTTCGAATTCCAGACCACAGTTCTAATATCCCCCCATTATCCAGGTAGAACCTCCCCAATTTGACCAGAATTTGTGGGTGTGACCCCGGTCAGACACAGAACTCAATTTAATTCACGACTCAGAACCCAGAGACGAGAACCGAGAACTGAGAACTGAGAACTCAGAACTGAGAACTCTCGAAACTGGAAATGAAACTCAACCTGTGAGATCGTAATGGATTGCGGTTGTGTGCGCCGTGCCTCAAGGAAAAGTGTTAAATAAGCAGAAGCAAAGAAAACCCAGGGGTTTTGCAGGCGGGGAGCCTGAAATCATCTGAAGCTGAGGCTGGCATTCCATTTGAATTATTCATTGCCAAGGCAGCCAGCCAGCCACATGGGAATGGAAGTGGAAATGGAAGTGGCAATAGCAATTGGAGTTGGTTTAATTGCCGAGCAAGCCGAAAGCCAAAGTAATGCCATAACCAATAGTTATTGCACGGAGAAAAAGAATACAGTTGTCAATTTATCTATATCTTTATATTCCATTCTTTATATTAATATAAAATCAAACTAAATAAAAAATGGATTTTGAAAAACTAAACTTATTTTCTCTCTGTGTTACTCTTACAAAATTTGCTATCAAAATCG